GACTCTCTGATTTCCCTCTCTGCTTCCTTATCTTTAGTGTATAGGAAGGCAACTGATTTTTTGGAGTTGATCTTGTATTCTGCCACTAGAATATACTTTGATATGTTAAATAGCCATTTGTCCTGAGTTTGAGGCCTAACATTCACGATTCTTTTGCTTTTCTTTGCTATATAGTTAAGAAACTTACTCATTTGAAATCAAAAGCATGGCTATCACTTTATAGACCAATAGAACAATAATCTTGACTTCTAATCTTCCTCCCTCTATCTCCTGAGGGCTGGAATTACAGGCACATGTTACCATGCCCTACTTTATGCAGTGCTGGGGATTGAACTGTACATGCTAGGCAAGTACTCTACCAACTGAACTATACCCACAGCCCCATCCTTACTTATATTTAGGTCTTATTGAGACAGACTTGGGTAGCCTGGTCTGGTCTCAAACTCACTATGAAGCTGAGGCTGACCTTGAACTTCTGATTCTCCTGCCTCTTTTTCCTCCTAAGTATGGGATCGAGGGTTTTATTGTATGCTAGGCAAACATTCTGCCAAATAACCCGTACCCCAGGTCCTCACTGGGTTTCTTTAACTTGGCACATTGCATTTATGGCTAGACCTTTCCTGTGCATTTCAGGATGCTTAGCAGTATCTCTGGCTTTCATAAGCAAAATACAAGTAGTGTTGTATCACCACAGCCTCATATCTCCAGACACGGGCAATTGCTCCCTAGAAGATAGAACTGTCCCCATGTTGAGAACCACAGATACACACACACACACACACACACACACACACACACACTCATTTGCTTTTATTCAGGACACAGGAGTAAACAATACTAAAAATGTAAGACTAGCATCAAATGCTTGAGTCACAAACATAAAAACCAGGGACAATGGTTGTGACCTTCCCTGCTCCAAAGAGACATGGATATTGGTAAGATGATTTAGCAGGTGAAGGGACTTAGCACCAGGCCTGATGACCTGAGTTTGATAGCCCAAACCCACATAGTAGAAGGAGAGAATCAACTCTCACAAATTGTCCTCTACCTCTTGGGGTGCTCCAGGACATGTTAGTGTGCATGCCCTTACTCCTGCTAAATAAATAAATGTAAAATAAAATAAATAAAACATAAACTAAAACAGCCAATATCCAGAGCCTGCCATGGAGATGCATGCCTTGTCACAGTGTTTAGGAGGCTGTGACGGGATCATGGTGAGCGTGAGGCTAGCAGAAGCTAAAGAGGGAGACTTTCAAAAAGCCAGCAAAAACAAACAAACAAACAAGACCGTCCCAAGTGCCCAGGAGCAGTTTCTTGTTTGCTGTTGTGGCAAGTGTGATGTGATATAAAACGACAGGCACATTGTCTTGCAGCACTTTAGAGATGAAGACAGCATGTGTTACTGGGGAAACCAAGCACAAGATTCAAGATGGTGACTTCCATTCACCTGAAATACTGTACTTTCTTCAGCTTCTCCTGAAATTGTCGCTCTTCTTTTTATAGTTTTCAAAATTCTTTTTTAAAAATATTTTTATTAATCCCAGCATTCAGGGAGGCAGAGGCAGGCAGATTTCTGTGAATTTGAGGCCAGCCGGGGCTACAAAGCAAGTTTCAGGATAGCCATGGCTACACAAAGAAACCCTGTCTCAAAAATTCAAAAAGAAATTATTTTATATGTGTGTGTATTTTGCCTGCATGTATGTTTTATTTGCTGGCCTGGTGGCCATGAAGGTCAGAAGGCAAAAACTGATCCTTGAAACTGGAGTTATGGGTGGTCCTGAGCCACCATGTGGATGTTTTGAAATAAACTCAGGTCCTCTAGAAGAGCAGCCAGTGCTTTTAACCAGGAACCATCTCTTTAGGATCAGCTTTCAAGAGTCTGGTATAGGTAGGTAGGTGTGGTAGTTATTGCCTGTAATTCCAGCACTTGGGAGGCAGGAGAATCAGAAATTCAAAGTTATCCTTGGTCACATAGTGAGTTCCAGGCCAGCCAGTCTCAAAATAACAAAATCGGATGAAGGCCGAAATCAAAGACTAAATGGGGGAGGGAGGCATTATGAGAATTGCCAAAAGGGAGTTGGCTCGACCAGGTCACTCTATCCAAGACCAGGAGAACAAATAGGGTTCACGCCGCCTTGGGGGCTTTACTTCTTTATACTGGTTGCACTTAGAGTTATCAAGGGAACTTTTTTTTTTTAATATTTATTTATTTATTTATTTATTTATTTATTTATTTATTATGTGTACAATATTCTGTCTGTATGCCTGAAGGCCAGAAGAGGGCGCCAGACCTCCCTACAGATGGTTGTGAGCCACCATGTGGTTGCCGGGAATTGAACTCAGGACCTTTGGAAGAGCAGGCAATGCTCTTAACCACTGAGCCATCTCTCCAGCCCTCAAGGGAACTTTGATACTCAGTGTTCCGCACTACTTTTAGACCAGGCTTCAGATGGATATTTTAGTACTTTCCAATCTAACTTTTACCTGAACCTGGCAGGGGACTGGTATGCCGTTTCTGCAGTCACTATCTCCTTGATAACACAAGTAACTATTCCACTTATGGGGAGCTCGGGGAATCGCCTGGTCCTGTAGCCACAACATACAATCCCTCCTCCCTCAATCAGTATACAGGAGGGCGTCTACAGGACTACATTTCCCACCAGGTTTTGCGCAGCCCCCCCCCCCCCCCCAGGTCCCAAGCCCTGAAGACCGAAGGAAAGATGGTGGTCCACTGCACGTGTGGTTCCGTGCTGGCAGCCTCCATGATTATGTGGCATTCTGTTTAGTCCTGCTGCTCTGGGAACAAGGTTCAAAACGGGAACCTTCAGGCCCTCAATGAGTCTGCCATCCCCTCCCCAAACGTTGACAGAGGCGCGAAACGCCACACTTCCGGTCTCAATCTTTTGCTCCGTTCTTGCCCCGTGTACATATCCGTAAATTCCTGGAACCTACTGCGACTGGGAGACGGTGAAGGGAAGTGCCAGGCTTATTACTCGCCGTGGCCATGGTGACCAACTTTGGGGTCCCCTGTCCCCACTGCTTCACCTGGTCTTTGCACTTGCTCTTTCCCTGGCGCCTTAAGGCGTTTTCTTTCTGCTTCAGATTCAACTACAATGTCCTCATTTCAAAGAGGCTGGAGGAACCCTCTATCTCCCTTCCTGCAAATTCTAGTGCTCCTCTCAGGTAGATGGTCCTTTAAGTTCTTTGTGCAGAAGGGACTCAAGCCTGAAAAAAAAAGGACAATCATGTCCTGTGGTGTCACTGAGTATACAGTAGGACAGACAACCTAGGCTTGAGCTTGGGAACTGTCGATTGGGGTAAAGTTGATCTGTGACCTAGAGAAGTGGGGCTGCCTGGGACTAGGCACTTTTGTGTTAACCATCAGCCATCTGTGGTGCTTCTGTTTTACCCAGACAGAATCGTGGTTAGGCTAGTGCTGGTCTTGGTAGCGTTGGTTTCCCTTGGTGCTTGCTTGCCTGCCGCCTCTGCTCAAGCCGCGCGTGAGAACAGCAGCAGACGGGCGCCCCCTAGTGGTATAATCCTTGTGAAGCCCTTGAGTATCTCCAGTCCTGGCCTCCTCACTAGTGTCCGAGCTCTCCTGTTGGCCTGCGTCTGGATTCTTCAGCTCTCAGTGGCAATGGGCATTGTGGGTAACAGGCAGTCTTAGGTATTGGGATTCCTTAACCCTCCACAGCAGTCTGCGTTACAGCTCTTGGCCCTGGGTCTGAGAGCTTGTGCCTAAAGACCTGGCAGCTTTTTATTCTAGAGATCAGAGCCCAGTGGGTGCCAGCTGGCCTGAACTGTCCATTTCAGTTATCACGGACATCTTGTGAAGAGAAGGCCTGTGTGTGCGAACTTCGTAAAGCAGGGCACAGCTATACCATATACACAGGGACCAGGAACCCTGCAAACTGGGGGGCGGTTCTCAGTCCTACCTAATTGCCCTGCATCTAAACCCTCCGTGGAGTAGCCGTGCCTGTGGGCCTGCAGTATGACCTTTGCTCGGAGGACCCTCCCTACTGGCCACACAGAGGCAAATGCAATTGTTGGAGCAGCCCAACCTGTTTGCAGTTTCCACCCATGTGGTAGGAATTTCAGTACTTTTATTGGAATTCTCCAGTTTGCAACTCTCCTGGTGGTCTATGTTCTTGTGTGTGATAGTCAGGTGAGGCCACAAGAACAGACACGGGAGCCTCAGGAAAACAAAGTGTATTATGCTAATGGGTCTAGATACAGTAGCTCACATAGATCCATGACTGAGGACCTTGTGAAGTCACCCGTGTTTGTCAAGAGGCACAAGAACCAGGGGATCCTCGGGAGGCAGAGGCAGGTGGATCTCTATGAGTTCGAGGCCAGCCTGGTCTACAAGAGCTAGTTCCAGGACAGGAACCAAAAGCTATGGAGAAACCCTGTCTCGAAAATCCAAAAAAAAAAAAAAAAAAAAAAAAGAACCAGGGGATCCTCTTTCTGAGGGAAAGGAAGTCAGGCAAAGTAAACCGGTTCTGATTTTAGGATTAGCAGAGTGCTGGCACCACCTAAGTCTATGGCACCCAGGGCTTGAGGAAGACTCCGTATAGCCATGTTTTGTTCTGACTACTGCAGCCGGGCTTATGTGCGCACAGGGGCTCTGGGTGGAGAACAGTAGCTACCCAAGGGAGACCCTGGGAAAGGTCTGTGCATCTTGTGCCCTGTCCACAGCATGGACTATTTTGTGGCCTTGGGAGCACTGGCCTGTGCATTCTGCAAGAAGCGCAAGTACAGTGACATGGTGAGAGGTTTAAGACAGAGGTGCATGGGGCCCCACAGCAGCAAGGGAGGGTCAGGTCAGAATGGCTGGGGAAGCTCCTCAAGGACATCTGCGGGGGGGGTATCGGAGGACAGAGGGCTTCAGGGCTCCAGGGACAGGCAGAAAGGCACACGGGTGGGAGAAAGTGGGCTGGCGTGTGGGAGGTGTAAGAGGAGGCCAGGTCTGCAGCAAACACAGACAACAGGCAGACCAGTACTTTGAAACCACTTTTACATCACTGTGCAACCAAGACAAGCATTCACATACACAGTTGAGGGTAACTAGAACAATTGCTTGGGCTGAAGTGACATGGACCCTGGCATACTTGTACCTCATTCACCAAAGTTTGCTGAAAAGGTGACTCACCGGGAAACTTCCTATCCTGGAGTGACACAGGATGACTGGGCAGCAAAAACAGCCTCAGCAGGAGGAAAGTGGGTGGGGATGGAATTAAGGCCGGAAGGAGTGAGAAAGAAGAGCCCTGATCAAAATCCAGTGGGAGGCCACGAAAGCTCACGGAAGGTGATGTGGGAGGAGGGGCTAGATTAGAGGTGAGCCCCGAGGTGAATCCACAGGGCTGGAGTCTGGAAGGGAGACGATACTGGGCAAGTGTCAAGCACCATGGGACTGAAGCCAGGGAAAGCATGAGTGGGCCGGCATGGAGGAGGCTTCACCGGAGAGGAGGCCTCACAAGTGTCTTGGCGTTGGTATACACTAATATGGTGGGGAAGCAGGAGGAAGGCACCGAGTGAGCCTGGCAGGCATCCTTTCTAGGATGGACAGCAAAGGAACTGGCAAGAACAGTAGCCGCGTGAGAATGTGAAGCTCGGGCCTTCCTACCTGGAGGATCAGCTAGAGGTGACTGAGCCACATAGACACTCAGCTCTACTTGCTCTGGTTCCAAGAACCAACGCACATCTTTAGCTCAGGTTATCTTTTCTCTGGGACCAGCCTGAGTGGGAGAGAAAAGGCAGTAGGAAGCTTCTGGAAGTTTCACCGATTGGTCTGAATCTCTATGTTCATTAGGGGACTTCACCTGGGACCTCAAATGTAGAGGTGTTCCCAGATGGCCCCAGTCTGCCATTAGACACTGGGTGACACAGTTATCCACCAGTGGGGTTCCTGGCTCCTGTGGAATTCAGGGTTTCTCTGAGGGAGGCTGTGCTGTGGTGCTTCCAGTCACTAAAGCACAGTGACATGGATCTTTAGATGGACCATGAGAGCTGAGCTGCGGCTGAAGGCCTTCCCACAGTCACTGCACTTGTAGGGCTTCTCTCCCGTGTGCGTGCGCTGGTGCTCAATGAGGGAGGAGCTCTGCGCGAAGGCCTTTGGGCAGTCCTTACACCGATAGGGCTTCTCTCCAGAGTGGATTCTCAGGTGCCGGACCAGAGCTGAGCAGTCACTGAAGGCTCTCCCACACACGTCACACCTGTAGGGCTTTTCCCCGGTGTGGATGCGCTGGTGCTGTGTCAGGTGGGTGCTCTGGCTGAAGGCCTTGCCGCACAGGTCACACTCATAAGGCCGCTCCCCGGTGTGCACCCGCTGATGCTGGGTGAGGTGGGTGCTGCGGCTGAAGGTTTTGCCGCACTCCTCACACTTATAGGGCTTCTCCCCAGTGTGAACCCTCTGGTGCTGCGTCAGGTGGGTGACTCGCCTGAAGGCTTTCCCGCACTCCTTACATGCATGGGGCTTTGCTCCTGTGTGGACAACCTGGTGTTGGGCAAGGTGGGTGCTCCGACCGAAAGCCTTCCCACACTCGACACAGGCATAGGGCATCTTCTGAGAGTGGCTCTTCTGGTGGGCCTCCAGGGCTGACGTATTCTGGAATGTTCTCACACATTCACCGTACGTGGAGGGCTTCTTTTCTGAGTGTGTATCTGGAGGCACTGTCCCATAGTCATACAATGGGCCAAGTTTCTCCTCTGAAGAAGCCTTGTCTTGGGAAGGGAAGCTAGGCCACGGGTTGGAACTCTTTCCTGAGACGTCAGACTCATAGCCAGGCTGGTTTTTGGGGGCACCCATGTGAGACCCCAGGTCTCTTCTGAAATCCATCTCTTGGGCAGCAGGCTTCATCCAGCGTGCTCCTAGGAGCTCTGGCTGGCTCGCAGAGCTGCTCTCAGGTTTCCAAGTGTGGGCAAAGGTGGATTTTGGGGAAATGACTCCTGCGGGTGTTTCAGTGGCCATGTCTGGTGGGTGTGACTCGTCTGTGCTGCTCTGTTTACAACTTGCCTCTTCGTGTTGCACTCCTGGTTCCCACCCTGGAATCAAGCAAATCATACTGTTACTTCCCCGCCACACAAGCCTCTCCATCTGCCTGAGGCCCAATCCACACATTTGTCACATGGTCCCGTTTCCAAGGGGAAGTTTCCCCTTCAGTGTCTTGAGTAAGGAAAAGGATTCAGGACTGTCCTCTTATACGACCCTAAACTGCCATCTGTCTCGCCAAGGCTCCTGATCTGGCTAAAATGCCCAAAGGAAAACTTACGTATGGATGAGATCTGAAAAACAAGCGTGGAGGAAGCTGGGCCTTGTCAGGTACCTGTGCATTTGCTCCCGGCAATCTGGGGCAGGGCCAAGTTCTGTGAGTCCAGGCTCTGTCCCTTAAACTCAGAGGCTGTCTTTGGGAACAGTGGCTGAATGAGAATCAAGCCAGATGCCTGTGACTGTCACTTCTCACAGCAGAACTCTAGGTAGACATCTGATTTGCTCCTGAAACTCCCCGATCCGAGTAAACAGGAGGGAGAGGCGACCTGCACTGACCCGCCCTCCACAGGAGCAAAGGGTACCTGAGGATACTTCATCTGGCAATGTCTACGGATGAGTCAGAGCAGTATGCAATAGCTGTCCTTCCAGCCTATCCTTGGGCTGAGTAGACTCAGAAACAGGGGCTCCAACCCCAGACTTTGAGGTGCCAAGTCATTAGTCCTTAAGTTTAGCTTGCCATCATCTGGACCTCAGTTTGTGATAGTGCTTGCTTGCCAGGGCCGCTGGCTTATGTCTCCAAGTGCACTGCCTCATCCTTTCCAGAGGAGATGCTAGTGGTTCCACTGTAGATGAGGAGACTGAGGCCCAGGGGAGGTGCTGAGCCCCAGGTACACCATCACAGGATTATGCATGGTCAAGCATGCCTTTAGTCCCAGCGGTCAGGAGACAGAGCCAGGAGGCTCTCTGAGTTCAAAACCAGCTGGTCTCTAGAGCTTGTTCCAAGATAGTTCTACATTGTAGTTCCAAGCCAAGAGCTACATAGTAAGACCTTGTCTTAATAAATGAATAAGTGAGTAAAATCATAAGATTAGTAGAGATTCTGAGGGACTTGTACTTGCTCAGTTAGCTTGCAGCCAGACTGGGACTTGCTCTGGAAGTTCCTGGACTAGACTGTACAGCGCTTGGACCCTTGCATCCTACCAGACATCTCTGGGTAGGGAATACATGTGTGGGTCTCCTTGAATGACCAGTACCCACTCCAGTTCAGGGCCATCTAACCATCCCCCAGATCCTGTAGGCGAGCACAGGGAAGGCCACAAGAGGATACACAGGGATACCTATTTCTCTCTCCCTCCCTCTCACTCAAGACATTCAGTCATTTCATCTGGGCTAGGAGCTACACTTCCTTTGGGGAAGAGCTCCAGGCTCACTATGAGTTCCTGGGATTTGACGCTCCAAAGGCAAACACAGATCTGATTGGTTCAGTGAGGCTCACACTAGACATTGCTTGCTGTTTTCCCCGTCCACTTGATAAGTCAGGAACTGATGGACTGACTACCTTTGGGGAGATGGTGATAAGCTAGGGATATAGCTCAGCTGGCAGAGTGCTTACCTATATCCCTAGTACCAGCATCTGAAGCTGGGTGTGGTGGCACAAGCCTGTAATCCCAGCATTTGGGAAGTGGAGGCAGGAAGATCAGAAGATCAAGGTCATCCCCGATACGTAGCAAATTTGAGGTTAGCTTTGGTACAAAAGACTTCTCATCTTAAAAAAAAAAAAAATAAGGGCTGGAGAGCGATTAAGAGCACTGGCTGCTCCTCCAGAGGACCAGGGTTCAATTCCCAGCACCCACATGGCAGCTCACAACTGTCTGTAACTCCAAGATCTGATACCCTCGCTGGGCCGCTGGTTGTGTACACCTTTAATCCCATCACTCGGGAGGCAAAGGCAGGAGTCTCTGTGAGTTCAAGTCCAGTCTGTTCTACAGAGCAAGTCCCAGGATAGGTTCCAAAGCTACATAGAGAAACGCAGACCTAAAGGAGATATGGAACGTGAGAGTAGGTGAGAGCAATCAGGCTGGGTATCAAGGCTCCCTGAGTGTATCTTCTGGATGCTGCTGTGTCTAAGCCCCTTACTCATACCTGCGTGGGATTTATTTGGTCACGTGTACCCATGGCTAAGGTACAAAGGTGAGAATGAGCACCCCAGCAGCAATCCCTAACTAGAGCTAGCTTGGCCTACATTCCAGCCAGGCTGTGCCAGCGCTCTCCGTGGCCGACTACCTCCTTACCTGCTGCTCCTCCTTACCTCTCTTGTCCAGCAACTGAGTCAGATCCTCCACCAGAATGGCAGCCTCCTTTCCACTCTTTGGGCACTGAGCCCCGACCCAGGCCTGGATCTCAGGGGGCAGTGCACCCAAGAATTGCTCCAGCACCAGCAACTCCAGCATCTGCTCTTTGGAGGACGACTCTGGCCTCAGCCACTGGCAACATAGCTCTCGCAGTTGTGCCAGCGCGTGATGGGGGCTGGATGCCTCCTCGTAACGGAAGTGCCGGAAGCGCAGGCGTGCAGCCTCAGGATGGGCAGTAGGGCTAGGGCTGCATCCCTGGCTCTGGCAGAGGTTAGCTTCTTCCTCCTCTTTCACCTTCACCTGAAGGAAGCTGTCCTGTTCCCAGAGTACTGGGTTCAGAGGGCACTTGGGGATGGCCATTGGGCAGATGAACTCAGTGAGACACGGGATGGCTGGAGTCTCTGAATTGGGTCTGTAGAAATGTTAGAGCTTCACCATCTGAAAAGAGGGAGAGGAGATGCAGGTTTGAGGTAGCCAGACTGGCCTCCAATTCACCATTCTCCTGCCTCATCCTCTGTGCATGCACTACCATGCCTACTACCTTGCTTCTTTTTAGATATATGTATTTGGGTCAGTGAGGTGGATTATCAGGAAAAGGTGCTTGCCACCAAGTCACTTATTCTCACATGGAAAAAGATGAATGTACAATGAGAACCCTAAGAGAGACATACATGGATCGAATCTACATGGGAAGTGGAAAAAAGACAAGATCTCCTTGAGTAAACTGGGAGCATGGAGACCATGGGGGAGGGTAGAAGGAGAGGGGAGAGGAAGGGAAGGGAGCAGAGATAAATTATAGCTCAATAAAATCAATAAAAAAATTTAAAAAATCAACTTGAAATAAAAGCCTCAGGAAAAAAAAATGAATGTAATGGTCATGGCAGTGTCTGTTCAGAGCTGAGGATGATGCTCAGTGGTCCCATGCATTCAGAATATACAACAGGGGCTGGAGAGATGGTGCAGCAGTTAAGAGCACTGGCCGCTCTTCCAGAGGACCTGGGTTCAGTTCCCAGTAACCACATGGTGGCTCACAGTCATCTGTAATAGAATCTGATGCTGTAGGCATACTGGCATGCAGGCATGCATATAGATAGTGCACTCATACCAAAAACCAAAACAAACAAACAAAAATCAAAACAAAATCCACAACAGAGAGGAAGTCATTAAGCTCCGGCAGAGACTTTCAAACCCATAATTACAACGACCTTGGTTAAATTCGGTGGGTCTCAAAACCAAAACAGTTATGAATGTGGGAAGGTCTATAAGGAGGAGCATAATGGGTGGGAGGAAGACTGGGAGTTTAAAGTAATGAGAATGCATGTTATATGAAATTGTTATCAAATAACAAATCCAATAAAGTTAAAAAGAGGGGAGCAGGCAATGGGATGGCTCCACAGTAAGGGTGCAGGAACCACACGAGTGGAGGAAGAGAACTGACTATTGTGTGTTGTCATTGGATTGAGTACCACATGTGAAAATAAAAAATCTCAGGGGCTGGAGAGAAGGCCCAGCATGCACATGTGAAAATAAAAAATCTCAGGGGCTGGAGAGAAGGCCCAGCATCCACATGTGAAAATAAAAAAATCTCAGGGGCTGGAGAGAAGGCCCAGCATCCACATGTGAAAATAAAAAATCTCAGGGGCTGGAGAGAAGGCCCAGCATCCACTTCATGGCTCACAACTGTCTGTAATTCCAGTCCCAGGTCTTCTGACACCCTCTTCTGATTTTCACCAGGCATGCATCTAGTACACAGACATACATGTAGGCAAAACACCTACATACATAAAAACAGAACTATAAAAACAAAGAATAAAGTAACTTCATCAGAGCTAAGGAGACGGCTCGGTCGGGTAAAGTGCTCGTTGAGTGAGCACGGCCTGGGTGTGGATCCCCAGCACGATAAGAAGCCTAGCATGGCAGTACAGGTCCATAACCCCAGCACAGAGGGGAGCAGAGACAGGCAGATCCCCAGGACTCACTGGCTAGCTGTAGGTTGAGAGATCTGGTCTCAAAACAACAGTAGTAGTAGCAGCAGCAGCAGCAGCAGAGGTGGAAAGTGATAGAGGCGTCAACCTCTGGCCTTCACGTGGAGTAAACACACACACACACACACACACACACACACACACACACACACGAACTTATAACAAACTCAAGGGACATAAGCTATATTCCTATTTTAGGTGAAGACAGACAGAAAGAAAAGTCTCACAGCTAGGGAAGGATTTAGCAGGAGAGTGAGCTGCAAATGCAAGCAAATCCATGGCTAGCCACAGAGCCATGTCTCCTGTCTCTTATACATTACCCATTTTCCTATCTTTTGAGCTGATAACCACATAGTAAATTATTCACTTTATCTGCTGTTTCCCTGTGGAACTATGTAACGAGACTGGCCTCCAGTCTTCATCCCCAGTGCATGTCCTACCATGCCTGACCACCTTGCTTCTTTTCAGATGCATGCATTTGTGCTATTGAGATGGCTTTTCAGGTAAAGGCATTTGCTGCCAAACCTGATGACATACATTTGATACCTAGGACCTATATGGTAGAAGGAAAAACCTGACTATTAAAAGTGTTGTGCTGTAAGAGAGACTTACATAGATCTAATCTACATGGGAAGTAGAAAGTAGAAAAAGACATGATCTCCTGAGTAAATTGGGAGCTATGGACCTTGGGGGAGGGCTGAAGCGGGGAGGGGAAAGGCAGGGAGGGGAACAGAGAAAAATGTAGAGCTCAATAAAAATCAATAAAAAATGCCCCCCCCAAAGTGTTGTGCTGTAGTATGCATGCACATAAAGAAATAAATATAAGTTTGAGATCAGCTAGGTGGTGGTGGGGCATGTCTTTAATCCCAGCACTTGGGAGGCAGAGAGAGGTAGGTAGATCTCTGTGAGTTCAAGGCCAGCCCAGTCTACCGAGCAAATTCCAGGACAGCCAGGGCTACACAGAGAAACCCTGTCATGGAAAAAAAAAAAAAGTCAGCTGGGCAGTGGTGGCGCATGCCTTTAATCCCAGCACTCGGGAGGCAGAGGCAGGCAGATCTCTGTGAGTTCAAAGCCAGCCTGGTCTACAAGAGGTAGTTCCAGGACAGGCTCCAAAGCTACAGAGAAACCCTGTCTCGAAAAAACAAAAACAAACAAACAAACAAACAAGTCTAAATCAAGTGCATGTGTTTAAAGCTATACATTTTCTTCTAAACAGCTCTAATCGTATATCACAATTTTGTTAAGTTCTATTTACATTTTTATTTATTTGAGGCAGGATCTCTTATGTAGCCTAGGATAGCCTTGATATGGAAATCTTTATGCTTTAGCCTCCTGGGGTGCTGAGATTATAAGCATATACCACCATAGCCTACTTCATAATAATTTAGTTTAAAATATTTTCTAATTTCTGCTGTGGTTCTTTATAATTCAGGGTTTATTTGGAACTCTGCTGCTTATGACTAGGGGTGTGGTTTACTAAAAACTACTGAATTGTATACTTTGAGATGGTGAGTTTTAGGCTGGGTGTGGTGGCACATACCTCTCATTTCAGGACTATGGTGGCAGTGGCAGGCAGAACATTGAGTTCTAGGCCATCCAGTAGTACTAGTGAGACTTTGCCTCAAAAATAAACAGATAGGGCTGGAGAGATGGCTCAGTGGTTAAGAGCATTGCCTGCTCTTCCAAGGGTCCCGAGTTCAATTCCCGGCAACCACATGGTGGCTCACAACCATATGTAAAGAGGTCTGGTTCCCTCTTCTGGCCTGCAGACATGCACACAGACAGAATGTTGTATACATAATAAATAAATAAATATTTAAAAAATAAAAATAAATAAATAGATAGATAGATAGATAGACAGACAGACAGACAGATAGAAGTTTAGCCAGGTATGGTGACACATACCTATCATCTCACCACTCAGAAGGCCAGGGCATGAAGATTTAGAGTTCAAGGCTATCCTGGGCTAGAGAGCAAGACTCTTTCAGCCCTAAATAAATAACTAAATGGTGGGTTTTGATTATGAGAATCTCAATAATGCTGGCTTTTTAAATGTATTTCTTTTCAGTCCTGGGCAAATGCCTTCTCCTTATTAGGCATTCTCTCCCTTCTGTATGGCAGGCCTCTATACAAAAGACAACTCTGCAAAGGTTCTGCCCCCTACCGTGCTTTATTTCTTATTACTCTTCACCACTTGGTGGATAGCACAATTGTATGATTATTTGTTATCCACCTGCCAACACTGCAGTGTCAACACCTTAAGAGTTGGGGACTTTTCAGTCCAGGCATGGTGGCACATGCCTGTAATTCCAGCACTCGGGAGGATGGAAGCAGGAGGATTGCAACTCTGAAGGCGGTCTGAGCTACCTATCAAGACATGGCTTGTCCCACAAAAGGGAGAGGGGGGGCAAAGAGATGGCTCAGCAGGTAAAGGTACTCACCATGGAAGCCTGCTGTCCTGAGTTCAATCCCCAGAACCTGCAAAAAGCTGGATGCAGGAGAACACATCTGTAATCCCAGCACTCTATGGGAGGATGGGAGGCAGAGAGCAGAGAATCACCAGGAAGTTTGTGGGCCAGCTAGTCTGGAGTATGCAGTGAGCAGAAACAAGGAGACCGACAGAGAGGGCCAGCCAGCTTTCAGAAGTTGTCCTCCGACTTCCAGGCCCATCCCACAGCATGCACATGACCACATCCACACATGCACATATATCCTACAAAATAATTAAAAACAAATAAGGTAGGCATGGTGGCACCGTCTTTAATCCCAGCACTTAGGAGGGAGAGGCAAACAGACCTCTGAGATTGAAGCAAGCCCGGTCTACACAGTGAGTTTTAGGCCAGCTTCGAAAAGAACGTGTGCGACACACCAGGCTGTTAATACACATTTTATGGTGGAATAAAAGCAGCTCAAGTATTGCTGTGGCTGTGTACACCCAGTGCTTGGGAGGCAGGAGGAACATTTTATTCAGCATTTCAGACAGAGGGTTTCACTCACACTTGAACTCAGTCACAAACCCACTGGCTCCGTCTCACAACCCACCTACAAAGTCCATCAAAGAACTATTTCCTTCAGTCGCTTCATCAGTTAGTCACTGGACGTGATATACGAGGCCAAGATGCTTTAGACACAGCACAACCTGTCGGGCACAGACGACCGGTCGGTCAGTCCCACTTTTTGTTTGTCGGTCTTACATTCGTCAGCCGGGCCACACTCTGCCGGTTCTTACTCACAGGCCGTCAGCTTCGGCGTGGGCGTTCGCAGCTCAGCCCTCAGTGCCACGGCTCCAGCTCTCACCGGGTCTCCCTAAGTCCCAGCAGACAATTCCGGAGATACCCTGATGACGAACACACAGGCGCCTTCATGCCCAGGAACCACAACTCCCAAGATGCCTAGCTCAGGCGCAAGGCCACAGGGTACGTCACCTGGACTACAAGTCCCAGAAAGCACAGCGCCAAGTCCCTGGACGGGCTGGGAGCTGTAGGAGTGCGTGCTTGATTCGCGGAGGGCTCAGGGAGGGGACCGACCCTAGGTTGGTGTTTGTTGGGACAGAGTTGTCTGTGAGTAGTGGTCGTGGTTTGCGCGGGAAGTTGAAGCATGCACGGTGCAGGTGAATCCTCAGATGGCTTACAATCATCTCACTGTAGTTCCCAGGAGTTTTGGTGCTCTTTTTTGGCTTTCACAGGCACCAGGCACATAAGTGCTGTACAGATATACAAGCAGGCAAAATATCCATATACATAATTTTTAAAAATCACATTTAGCCGGGCGCTGGTGGCGCACGCCTTTAATCCCAGCACTTGGGAGGCAGAGGCAGGTGGATCTTTGTGAGTTCGAGACCAGCCTGGTCTACAAGAGCTAGTTCCAGGACAGGCTCCAAAGCCACAGAGAAACCCTGTCTCGAAAAAACAAAAAACAAAAAACAAAAATCACATTTATTTGGTGTGTGTGTGTGTGCTGTATGTGGCATGATGCAAGTGAAGAGGTTGGGAGACAGCTTGTGGAACTCAGTTCTCTCTTACCATGTGAGTTCTGGGGAATCAAACTCAGTCTCGGCAACAAGTACTTCTTTTACCCACTTAGCCATCTTGGCTGTCAGAGGTTTTTTTTTTTTTTTTTTTGCTGGGGAATCCAGAGATTTACTCACATTAAGCACAACCCCAAGGCCCCAGCCCCAAGCTATAACCTTCCCCAGTCTTTATAATTTTATTTGAATTTAACCAATCTTAGCCAACTAATACTTAACACATAAGACAGTTCAGGGCTAGGATGTTTCAGAACCACGGACAGCTCCGAACTCTAGGCAAGGTGCTTGTCTCAGAGGTGATTACTGCTGGCATTTGTGAAACTGCTCATGACTTTGCCCCCCCCCCCCCCGTCTCTCTCTGTCTCTCTCTCTCTCTCTGTCTCTCTCTCTCTCTGTCTCTCTCTCTCTCTCTCTCTTTCTCTCTCTCTCTCGTTGTTTTGTTTTTCGAGGCAGGGTTTCTCTGTTTCTCTGTAGCTTTGGAGCCTGTCCTGGAACTAGCTCTTGTAGACCAGGCTGGTCTCGAACTCACAAAGATCCGCCTGCCTCTGTCTCCTGAGTGCTGGGATTAAATGCGTGCGCCACCACCGCCAGGCGACTTTGCCTCTTTTGAGCTCCATACAAACAAAGTAAACAGTGCGCAGTGTAACAATCTGTGTAACGGCCTCAGCTCCATGCCACCAAATTTCATAAACGGCAATGACAGGTTATCTGTATGGGGACTGTGCAGACAACAGCAAGACACACACTGTCGAGTTAAGGAGAAAGTCGCTAGTACAGCAGATCCTTACTACTCTACTTAGGGTCTTTCTCCTATCTGGAAAAGGGAGTAACAACATGGAAGACTTCTTGATCAGGCATTTAATATTGTGGACTGGGCACCACGCCATGAAACTCAGTCTGAGATGGGTGATAACAAGTATTTTCTCATAATGTATGCGATGTACTGAGGTGGGTGTACTGAGGGGACCTGCGTACTGCAGGGTGCTTCCCTCTGGACCCTGAATTGGGCGCAGACAACACCTAAAAGCCATGTCCCAGCACAAGCGACATGCAAAGAGGTCCATTAGTAAGCAAGACAGAGACAAAGTGGCTGAATCTGAATCTGCACACAACATCTTTGCACATGTTAATTTTAAGAGAAAAAAAGAGGGAGGTCTATGCTACAATGAGTTAGCTCTATTGGGTATTTTAATTAGGTTAGTCAAAATGATGAATTTTGATTGGTGAACCCTGATGTTTTGTTGGACCTTGATGATCAGTCTCAGGAATGAGTCAGGCATAACAAAGTGGTCAAATAAGGAAATAGGAATGTAATCTACTGGCATAACGAGGGGGAGAAGGGCGATATGCTTGCCATGCTCTGGCCTGTGTTTGCCACGCTTGGGTATGCTAGAACACTTCATGTACTACCTGTGTTTTTGGATGGGAGAGGAGGGACTCTGAGGTTGAAAAACGAGTTTATAGCTCAAAGAATGGATAGTAGAGGTCATAAGCAAGAAAGTGGGTGAGCCTAGACTGTATGGGAAGGAAGACAGATTTGTTCTAAATCGGGGGCCTATGAGTTCTGGCCTAGCTAAGAATCCCCACTATTGCTTTTTATTTTATTTTTTTGAGATAAGGTCTCTATAGCCCCGGCTAATCATTCAAGATCTATCTGGAGTACTTGGCTGCTGCCTCTAACATCCTGGGCTTCTTGTGTTTGGTTGGCTAATAAGGGAAAGGACAAAGGAACCAGGAAGTCTGTCTGTCTGCATTCTAGCCTTTTCACCTTTAGTATTACAGAGTTAAAGCTGTTCCACATGCAACTTCTTTTGTTAAATGAACACACATTTAGGCGTACACAGAACACCTATGACAAAGACACGCTGTGGTTCCTGCTCATAGGGAAATTCTGGCAGGATGAGGCAGACCATAGTGATATTTTATGTTTTATAAATTAAACTTGCCCGAAGACCAGAAGGTAAAACTAAGCTACTAGAGTCTAGGCAGTGGCATCACACACATTGAGTTCCAGGATTTGGAAAAGAGGCAGATGGATCTCTGTGAGTTTGAGGTCACCCTGGGCTACAGAAGATCAGTGCAGAAATGGATCCAGGGGGTGGTGGCTCATACCTTTAATCCCAGTACTAGGGAGTCACATGCCTTTAATCCCAGCACTAGAGAGAAATATAAGGTTACATCTTACTGGTTTCCCTTAAGATGTAGACTTCTTCCTCATTAATAATGGCAGTCTCCACTAAGGCTCTGATTTTTATTGTGCCACAAACCACAGTGGATTTCTTTTTTGAAATTCTTATTTTTGAGAAACCTTGTACAAATGATCTGCATATGAACAAATAAATCCTGTGGATTTCTCCCCAGTAGGTTTACTGAGAATACATTCATATGATTTATTTATTTATTTATCTATCTATTTTTATATTTATTTATTTATTATGTATACAATATTCTTTCTGTGTGTATGCCTGAAGGCCAGAAGAGGGCACCAGACCTCATTACAGATGGTTGTGAGCCACCATGTGGTTGCTGGGAATTGAACTCAGGACCTTTGGAAGAGCAGGCAATGCTCTTAACCGCTGAGCCATCTCTCCAGCCCCCGCATATGATTTAATAACTGATGAACTGCCCTCCACCCATTCATACCCTCACAGGAAATGTATAGGAAACACTCAGAGCCCTTTGAGAAAAGTTTTGCAAAATAATTGGATGGAGGGCACAATGTTATAATCTTCCAGCAATAAAGCTACAATAAATTTATTAGGGAAAATGCTCAAAATATAGGAAAAAGCATGCTACAAGAGAATGAGAATGGTTTTTTCATTCTAAACCTTTAAATGAGAGATAACTGCACACACACACATCTATGTTGTAGATTCAACATAAGTATTTAAGACAAAATTATACTGGTGGTGGTGATGCACACCTTTAATCTCAGCACTCATGAGGCAGAGGCAAGCAGGATTTCTAAGACTGAGGCCAGCCTGGTCTACAGAGTAAGTTCCAGGACAGCCAGGGTTACACAGAGAAACCCTGTTTCAATAAACAAAAACAAAATAAAAATTTCAATGAAAAGTAGCAAAGATCATCTTCGGATATTTGAAGGATGAAAATTTTAAATGCTTTAAAAAGTTTCACGGTCGTGCCAAAAAGGGCCGCGGCCATGTGCAGCCAATTCGCTGCACTAACTGCGCCCGCTGTGTGCCCAAGGACAAGGCCATTAAGAAGTTCGTTATTCGGAACATCGTAGAGGCGGCTGCCGTCAGGGATATATCCGAAGCAAGTGTCTTCGACGCCTATGTGCTCCCCAAACTCTATGTCAAGCTGCATTACTGTGTGAGCTGTGCTATTCACAGCAAGGTAGTCAGGAATCGATCCCGGGAAGCTCGGAAGGACTGAACACCCCCACCACGATTTAGACCTGCTGGTGCTGCACCACTACCTCCACCAAAACCCAGGTAAAGTGGCTTCATAAAGATAGAAGAAAACACCTTGGAAAATTAAAATGGAACTTAAACTCTAAAAAAAAAAAAATTTCACATTTTTTTGTGCATTTTCCAAGTTTTGCTATAATGAATTTATGTCAGTTTTATAAAGAGATAGAAACCACTATCTAATTTATAGTAATTTCCCTGAGAATCTCTTTCAAAATATGTACAAAGAAATCAGTGGGGCTATCATTCCTGGATGTGAATTGAAAAATGAAAATTGTTGGTTGTTCTGATTCACTAAGCCATAACTCAGCCATACAACATCCACCATGAGAAACAGGACTGGTTTTGGAGTCATGGTGATGAGTACGACACCTGGCTTCCAGAGTATCGGTATTATGGTATGAGTGCTGGTGTCTCCCCCCCATTTTCATTTGCTTTACCTAGACTAAACATTTGATGGAGCAGTTAAGGAGTTATAGGTAAAGGCAGGTTTCTATTTCTCAGAGTCTGGTTCACTTCTTGGGCAGGTCATTTTGTGCAGTGCCATCCCTGTCATCTGTTTGCGCTGTCAGTGGTAGCTGGGATGAAGATGTTTATATGATAAAGGACTGATGAAGAGGAAGAGTCAAAGGCATGTTTTCTGGCTTCAGTGATGGGATGGGAGAGAGTGATATCCATGAAAGGGGTTGGGAAGCAGACTGTTGGATAGAAAAGGGCCGTTTTCTTCAGGGTAAGCTGGGTATATGAGTTCATGGTTTACCTGATGGAGCCAACAGTCATGTCTACATCTGAATCTCGGAAGTCAAAAGCAGAGACTCAGAAATAGGGCAAACAATGTAAAGCCAGGAGTGTGGATGCTACCTGGGGAAGGTGTAGGCATGGCCCCATAGACCATATCACCAGGGACGACCCCAACCCTTGGAGTGGGAAAGAGAAGACCAGAAGCTCTTGAATAGGGTTATGCATTTCAGAACCGAGGGGGCAGCCTGCTGCCACGATGCCAGCAGCCTCAGGTGAGAGGTCGTGGAGATGGATGGCAGCACCCAGTGGTGGGCACAACAGATTTTGTGAAGCAGCGGGTGAGGGGCCCGAGGTGGAGGCTGGCACTGAGGAAATGGGAGCACAGGTAATTCTTTCGAGGGACTGGAAGAGAGGAAGCCTTCCAACAGTTCTCTTGCAGAGACTTCATGCAAAGTTTGGGATGGGGAGAGGAGCTTTGAGAACAAAGGGAGTCACGTGACCATATGCTTCAACCCACACTTTAGCAAGCTCAGTGGTTTGAGACCAAACCAGAAGTCAGTCCACCATATCAAAAGCGAGGAGGATGGATTGGATCAGAACATTTAAGTTACTCAAGTAACAAACAAAAGACTAAGAAACAGCACAACTAGAAGATTTAAGAAAGAAACCAAACACACAGCATAGATCATGGTTAGAATAAAACAAATACAAACTTTATGAAGCAACCAGATACATCTTAATACTGGATATTTGATGGTATCTGCTAGATATAATATGTTTTTTCTTGAGATGTAAAAGAATAACTTTTCCTAATATTATTTTTGCCCTAGTTAAGAGGAGTATAGTCAATAACCTCAGAACACTGCTTTCATTCAAATTCTGGCCCAGAAGCACTACCCAAACAACATAGCAAAAACCCAAAGAAGATGGCTTAGTGTGATTATGTAAATGGCTTTGTCCTTTTGGAAATATATGCAGAGAGATGAACAAAAAGTTCTCTGGGATGGATGTGAAAACAATACAGGGAGGGATGGGGTGAGGAGATGGGTGGGAGATCCAATGAAAACATCATTCATCTTTTAGAATATCCATTGTAAGTGCTAAAAGACTACACAGAAAGATAAGGGGATTCTTCACCATAAATATAAACATGGCAAAAATGGTGAAAGATTTACTAAGCACTACTTTGTATATATAAATTCATGGCTCTATTTGTTTAAAGATTTATTATGTATACAGTGTTCTGTCTGCATGTATGCATGCAGACCAGAAGAGGGCACCAGATCTCATTATAGACGGTTATGAGCCACTATGTAGCGGCTGGGAATTGAACTCAGGACCTCTGGAAGAACACCTAAGCCATCTCTCCAGCCCCTCATGGCTCTATTTGTTAAGAACAAACACATGATTGTTAATACAACTTTGTTCAATTTACAGTTTAGAAAAGGTGGGCTATTGTTCGTGTCTCTGGTACTGGGGATGAACTCAGGGCCTTCTACATGTTAGGAACGTGTTCTGTTACTGAGCTACCCCAACCCTCTGGGTCAAGTTTATATCAAGGCTTCTCCACCTTAGTACTATTAATATTTTGGGTTAGAAAATTCTTTGAGGAGCTGCCCTGGGCACATAAATATGTTGAACAATATCCTTAGCCTCCACACGAAAGCCAGTAGCATCCTTCAAGTTGCAGTGACAAAAATGACTCCAGACATTACTAAATGTCCTGTGAGAACAAATTATTGCAGATGGGTACCTCTGACTAACAGCAGTATCTCAAGGTACTGGCTTACAGAGGAGCTGTGACTCCTTTAGAGAGTGCTGTAGAATGCTGTGGCCACTTCTCTGTCAGATGACTTACTGAAGAGAGGACACATGCTGTGAAGTACAGAACTGAGTCATGTGTGACGTGTGAGAAAAGTGAACTGAGATTCTGAGTTGAATTCACATAGAAACACATATTACTTTGTGTATATTTCGATTTAGGCAGAATTTCCCACAAATGCAATAGTATTTTGGTTTGTCCAAAACTTTCATAGGCGTTTCATCACTACTCTGCAAAATCACTTTGGGCATAGCAACGTCCCTTATGGTATTTTTGTAGACAACAGTATGCCTCGCAGCAGACTGAAAGTTACAGGTCAAGGACCTGGTGAAAACGGGCCCACATAAGGACATGTCAAGATACCACACTGACTCAGTACATATCATTCTATTATAAATTAAATTAGCTATGTTTTACAAAAAGGGGTCATATGTTATTTCCATACTATGCCTGTGCAGAGGTTTTATTACTGGTAAACTCATTTTAGGGTAATGGAGAAAACATCTTAAGATGTCTATTGTTGCCGGATATAATGGCACATGACCATGATCCTAGAATTAGGGAGGTGAAGGCAGAAGGATCAGAAATTCAAGGTCATTCGACGTGGTGAGTTCAAGGCCAGCCTGGGTCATGTGAGACCTTGTATCAGAAAAACAAAGAAAAAGTCTGTTGTTAAACAGGAGCCCAGTTTGATGCATTTCAGCATCACGAACCTCAAGTATCTGGGAAGCACCACTTCCTTATGAAGTCATAGGTCACCACTGACATTATGCCATTTCTCTTGCCACCAAAACACGGTGTGCACTTATGTTGTACCTAGTAACTCAACAGTTTTCTGAAGAGTTTCCTTCCTACGTAGATTCTCTGATGTCAAATAGCATAGAATTGCTCAGTGAAGGTTCTTCCACCCCAATAACACGCACAGGGGTTTTCTCCTGCATAATTTCATGAAGGTCAAACAAGGCCAGTGCCCTGCTTGCTTGTTCTGCCTTTGTCTGGGCCACAGTGATCTCTCTTGAATTTGAGTGTGGATTCCGAATAAGCTTTGAGCCCCGCCCACAGGGCTGTTCTCGTCTTCGGCTACGTCCACGTGGTTCTTCCTCTCTGTTGTGGGTTATCTGATGTCGGATGAGGTGAGAGCTCTGAATGAAACATTTCCCACACTGACTACATTTAAAGGGCCTGTCACTCCGTTGAGTTCTTTCTTCTTGACTCAAAGGAGGGTCACAGCTGAGGGTTTCTGTCCACTCGTGCTTTGTTAAAACCGGTGTCTGCTCAAAGATCAGCCTCTGTTGGCACTCATAGGGTTTCTCACCAGCATGCTTCCGCTGATGCTGAGCCAGGGAGGAGCTGTGCCTGAAGCCCTTTCCGCAGTGATTACACTCATAGGGCCTCTCCTCAGTGTGAGTTCGCAGGTGCAAGAAGAGACAGGTGGTCCGAGAGAAGGATTTCCCACACACACTGCAGGTGTACGGCTTCTCTCCAGTGTGCGTTCTCTTGTGTCGCCCTAGGGATGAATTCTGATTGAAGGCCCTGCCACAGTCCTGACACTCATAAGGTTTCTCTCCAGTGTGAATTCTCCTATGGACTGTAAGATGTGTACTGTGACAAAAAGATTTCCCACACTCGTCACACTTATAGGGCTTATCTCCAGTGTGGATGCGCTCATGTTGAACAAGGGAGGAGTTCTGGCTGAAGGCTTTCCCACATTCTTTGCACATATAAGGTCTCTCTCCTGTATGAATCCTCTTGTGCACTGTGAGGTGTGCATTATGGTTAAATGACTTTCCACAATCAGTGCATTTATAGGGTTTATCTTGAACCTGACTTTTTGTGAGTTCTGTAATGGGCACAGTCTGATCGAAGGATTTCTGGCAGCCACTGTCATCAAAGGGCTGTGTTGCCAGGGAGTCTGTGTGCTGACTAACTAAACTTGTGTTATGTTTTGAGTTTTTAACTTGTGAGCCATTAGTACAGCCAAGTTCTTCTCTAGAATCATCTGATGACAGATCTGTGTTTAAGCTAAGAACAGAGGTTTCCTCAAGTCCAAGACTTCCACAGCCTTGACTTTGAATTGATATTTCCTTGGGGCCTTCCAATTGCCCTAAGTTACTCTGGTCCTTCTTGGTCCTCTGGCAATCACTTTTCCGATCTATCTCTGTCACGGGATAACAAGAAATAGCCACTTTGAACCCATCCCTTTCTTTAATGGGGGATAGTTCCTTCTCATGAAGGCCCTGCTCCTTGTGTGATGTGTGGGCTTCAGGTCCAAGTATCCAGCCTGAAAGAACAAAGAGCTCTGAGTAGTTAAGGGAAAAACAGAAGAGGGGCAGGTTCCTAATACCCTGGAACTTTGTCATTAGTTTAGGATCTTAACAACCTGCTCTGATAAGTCCTGAGTCTCCTCTTGACACGATCCCTGCCCTCACCATAGTTTCACCCTGGGGGCAGGCACTGGAAATGAATTAAAAATGTACCAGTTTCTTGCAGAATTTTGTTACAGCCCATCACAAACCTAGTGCCCAAAAGCAACACTGCTTACCATCTTACAATATGAAGTGCTAAAATCTATATCAGCAGAGCTGTTTTTTCCTAGAAGCTCCACAGAAGGACATAGTAGTAGTATAGCATCTTCAAATCTCTCAATAACCGCTGCTTCTGTTTCCACATATCTTTTCTTGCTGTGACCTTTTTGTTTTTTATAATTACTCTTTTGAGGGGCTGGAGAGATGGCTCAGTGGTTAAGAGCACTGACTGCTCTTCCAGAGGTCCTGAGTTTAATTCCCAGCAACCACATGGTGGCTCACAACCATCTGTAATGAGGTCTGGTGCCCTCTTCTGGCCAGCAGGCATACACGCAGACAGAATATTGTACACATAATAAAAAATATATTTAAAAAAATAAATAATTACTCTTTTGATTACATTGGGCCCACCTGATAGACAAGTGATTTTAGGGATTAGGAATTAAACTTAATTGAAGACCATACTTCATTTGGTTGCTCACCTTTAACATTAAATATGTGTGTGTGTGTGTGTGTATACATACACAAACATACATGTCCTGAGTGTATGTGTGTGTAAGATGTCCATGCAGGAGCTCACCGAAGTCAGAGAGGGCAATGGATCCCTGGAACCTGAGTTATAGGTTGTTGTGAGCTAACTTGGGTGTTGGGAACAGAGCCCAGGTCCTCTGCAAGAGCAGTATAAAAGTTCTCAGTTGCCGAGACATCTTTCTAGCCCATCCTTAACATTCTTGAGGCCTCTCATTTGCTTAAGACACACATGAACATGTTCATTAGCTCAATATCCATCTTATCACACTAGTGTCCAGTCAGGGCCTGGGACCTATGGATGCTAAATGTTCAAAACATCTGTCTCAGTGATATTGGAGGGATTCAAGGGAAAACCAAGAGTCTGGTCATGGGAGAAGAGCTGGAGAAACTGAGGCTTGCTGGGTACCAATCCCTTTACCGCCTTTGCACAGACACAGGGGTTTTAGTAAAATGCAAGTGATTCCACACAAAATTTTATATTTGAAGGCAATATGCTGAATATGTTATATAGTTTATGGAAATGTTCTCATTTAAAACAGCACATGTACACTAGGTATACAAAGAAAATCAGAAACAGAAAAACAAACAGCAGCAACATAACAACTTACATACATTTATGTCCACAGCAGCACCATTTTTTTTTTTTCCGAGGCAGGGTTTCTCTGTAGTTTTGAAGCCTGCCTTAGAACTAGCTCTTGTAGACCAGGTTAGCCTCAAACTCACAGAGATTCGCCTGCCCCTGCCTCCTGAGTGCTGGGATTAAAGGTGTGCGCCACCACCTGGCTCAGCAGAACTGCTCTTCATAGCCCCCAAATGGAAACAACTCCATGAATTGATGAATGAAAAATTGAAACATGAGTGTAGGGAATATAACTTAGTGGTAGAGTACTTGCTTAGCATGGTGAGGCTCTAGGTTCAATTCCCAGAACTACAACAAACAAACTAACAAATAATGGTCCACCTATTAAATGGACTATTTAGTCATAAAAAGGAATGACATGTGAATATACACAACAACATGTGGGAACTTTGAAAACGTTACACTGAGGAAAGGAAGCCAGACACAAGTGTCACGGACCAAGAGTCCACTGACTAAGAAAGGCCCTAAACAAGCAAGTCCATAGACAACCCAAATGAACGGTTGTCAGGATCAGGGAAGATGGTGGCGGTTGCTAGTAGGGACAGCTAAGGCCTGAATGTTTGTGCTCTCCTAAGTAGTGTGTGTGTTTATGTCCTAATCCCTCCGTTGATGGTATTTAGAAGTGGGGCTTTCAGGAAAGTATTAGGTCTTGAAGGCAGAGCCCTCATGATAGATTAATGTCCTCTTAAAATGGGACACTGGAGTCCCCCACTTCTGAGGAAAAGGCAGCTTTTTTATAGATGAGAAAGGGGCCTCCATCAAGAACCAAATCAACTGTCAGCCTCCAGAACTGTAAGAAATAAATGCCTGTTGTTTAGACCACCTGGACAATGATGACATGTTCTGGAAGTGGAAACTGGTGGTGCACCATCTGTGAACACACTCTGACCCCACGGGATTATACTGGTGGTGCACCATCTGTGAACACACGCTGACCCCACGGGATTATACTGGTGGCGCACCATCTGTGAACACACGCTGACCCCACGGGATTATACTGGTGGCGCACCATCTGTGAACACACGCTGACCCCACGGGATTATACTGGTGGCGCACCATCTGTGAACACACGCTGACCCCACGGGATTATACTGGTGGCGCACCATCTGTGAACACACGCTGACCCCACGGGATTACACAGGAGGTGCACCATCTGTGAACACACGCTGACCCCACGGGATTATACTGGTGGCGCACCATCTGTGAACACACGCTGGCCCCACGGGATTACACAGGAGGTGCACCATCTGTGAACACACGCTGACCCCACGGGATTATACTGGTGGCGCACCATCTGTGAACACACGCTGACCCCACGGGATTACACAGGAGGTGCACCATCTGTGAACACACGCTGACCCCACGGGATTATACTGGTGGCGCACCATCTGTGAACACACGCTGACCCCACGGGATTATACTGGTGGCGCACCATCTGTGAACACACGCTGGCCCCACGGGATTATACTGGTGGCGCACCATCTGTGAACACACGCTGGCCCCACGGGATTATACTGGTGGCGCACCATCTGTGAACACACACTGGCCCCACGGGATTACACAGGAGGTTTTTTGCTTTTGTTTCTGTTTTCTGTTTGCTTTGCTGAACCAGGTGTCACACCAGGGCTTCATACACACAACCTCCCCTGCCCCCAAGCACGGTTTCTATGTGATAATAGCCCTGGCTGTCCTGGAACTCGCTCTGTAGACCAGGCTGGCCTCAAACTCAGAGATCCACCTGCCTCCGCCTCCCGAGTGCTGGGATTAAAGGTGTGCCACCACCGCCCGGCTCCAACTGAACTTTTATCTAATTTTAAATGGGAAAGTTTTATGGTATAAAGTTGTTACCAAAACCCTTTCCTCCACCCTGGCTACCCTTCTGCGCACCATGCCAATCACTTCTGATCATTGACTGTGACCTCCTCCCCTGCCTCCCATTCTCATTGACGTCATCTCTTCCCTCAGTCTGTTCACTGCTGGTTTCCTTACCATTCCTTTCAACATATCCCATGCTCCTTTGCTTATGCTGCCTTCTCTGCCTTTCAGGCATCTCCAGACAGCTACCAGCTCCAGTGTTATCTTCTAAAAGAGGCATTCTTATGTGTCCTGGGGGCACTGTCTACCCTATGCTTCTCAGGCACATTTTTGTTTGTTTCAACCATCACCTCCTGATATTGTTATTCATTCCTCAGACCCCTAGATGACTGAGGCCATTTTATTTTTTTTGATGCTACACTCTTAGCATCAAAGGCATTATGTGAGTGAGTCCTCAGGAATCTTTGCTGAACGGGCTTCTGAGCTGATACTATTGATACAGCCTCAGACAAACTCTGGTCCAGACCAATGTTGCCAGTGGGAAGGAGGTTGAAGAAGACCCAGTGTCAGAGACCTTAGGCCACTGCCGAGGGCTGAGCTGCTGTAACCAGGTCAGGTCAGCAACAACTGAAAGCATCAATGCTGAATTCACCTGGGGTCCCCACAGATCCAGCCACCCCACACCTCAAACAAGCGATCCTGCTGTTTAGGAAGTCACAGTGTCTCCAGTGAGAAACGGTGGGAAGAGGAAGGGTTGAGGCGATAGTTCACCAGGTGAGGTCAAGTAACTATAGGAGGGAAACAGTAAGAAACAAAGCAAGTTGCAACAGGAAGGGGGTGGGATCACCTCCACGGTTACCTAGCCCACCAAATCATATGGATGCACTGGGAAGGGGTCATGGATGAGCCTTCTTTTCCTTTAAAACAAAAGGGAAATTGCTCTCTTGTTGAAGACAGTGTGTGGTAAGCTGAATGTGGCCCCTCGAGGACAGCCACACCCCAGTCCTTGGACCCTGTAAATGTGTGATGCTACATGGCAAAGAGGATATTGCAATAAAATTAAGATATTTATTTCTGTGTTTGTATATGAATGTATGGCACATTTGTGCAGGGGTCTGAGGTCAGAAGAAGGCATCAGATCCCCTGGAGGTAGAGTTACAGGTTGCTATACTATTAAATTCTAACATCACATCTATACCCTCATACAGGTATATACAGGTTACATGGACACAAATTCAGTTTTTTTTGTTTGTTTGTTTTTGTTTTTGCTTTTTTTTTTTTTCTTAACTGGTGAGCCATCTCTTCAGGTCCAAATTAAGAATCTTAAAAGTGTGCGATTATCTTTATATTCTAAATGTCACTAAAAGGCTCCACATAGGAAAGGCAGGTGAGCCAGAGAAGACCATGTGACGATGGAGACAGAGCTGAGTATGGGCTCTGAAGAAGGCCTCATGAGTCACGGCATCCAGGCAGCTCTAGACACTAGGAGAGACAAGAACTAGAACTCCTCCGCAACTGCCAGGAGTCTGGCTTGATGAGCCCCCTTGGACTCCTACTTCTACAGGTTTGAGCAAAGACATGAATGAATTTGTGGGCTCTCTTTTGGAGGGGGACGACAGAGTTTTACAAATGCAGCTGGGGCTTCCTGCAGAGTTCTTGGGATTACAGGAATTACCTATCATAACCAGCCAAATCTTTTTTCCCCATCCACTTTGCCACAGTACTTTGCTACAGTAGCTGTAGAACACCTATACGAAGTATCAATGCAAAGTAGTTTCCACTTTAACAGGAAGCCTTTGGTTTCTAGAACATTTATGATGGTTCAGATATTAAGTTCTTCAAACTCTCTGTAACAATTCTGATGCCATACCTGCCGTGTGAGCCAAACAGGCAAGGTTCAGTTATTTCAGAACCTAGCTTCTGTGGTAGCCTAAGCCCATCAGTGAAAAGCATGTGTACGGATGAGCAGGTTTGCTTCTGACAAATAAGCAGGAAGCAGCATTGGCCACAACCAATAAAAGAGGGAGAAGTGGGTCTTGCCGCAGACTCAACCAACTGAGAGTGAGGGTCAGAGCCCATCACAGAGGTAAAGTGTTTCTCTGCAGCCTGGGAAGGCACCAGAAGCATTTGAGTGGGTGTATCTGCAGGCTGCAGCCAAACCATACTAATTTCAGCTGTCAGCATACCAGTGTACCGGTCCCATCTACTTATAAAACTTAGACCTTCCCTACCCTTCTCCCCACTAAACAGGGCAGGACAAGCGCAAGGAATCCAGTCCTGACTGAAGAGTTTTGAGACAAGAGGATAGAAACCTGGTGCTGCTGTCCCCACCACTTCCCTTCTGCTGGAGCCACTCTGTAACCCTGAGCAACACAGAACCATCAGTCCCAGCAAATCTCGAAGATGCCAAGGCAGCATGAGCACCAGCTAAGTCAGAGGTCCGGCTTTTTAAAAATCGTACTTTTCTTTTCTTCTGAGCTTCTCTTAACATGGCTTTAAGGATTTTTGTTCTATTTTTGAGGCGGGATCTCTATCTGTCTGCCTATGTATGTATGTGTATGTATGTATCCATCCATCCATCCATCCATCCATCCATCCCTAGCTTGCCTGGATCTCATTACATACCAGGATAGCCTTGAACTCACAGAGATCCACTTGTTTCTGCCTCCAGAGCGCTGGGGTGAAAGGCATCACCATGCCAGGCCAAGTTTTTAATACCTCCATAGAATCTTTTCTGATAAGAGACTAGGAGAAGGGTGTGAGGAACAGGTTTATAGAATATAATACGAAAGAACTGAATGGAACACTGGGATGAAAGCAAGGAGGAGAATGCTGGGAAGGCTGATGAGAAAGAGGTGGCCTAAAAAGGAAGATGGAGCAGAAACACAGGCAGGGTCTCACTGCTGGAGAGGAAGAATGGCTTTGGTGAGCGCAGGAAGGTGAGGCCATGAGGCACCCTCCAGAAATGCATGACAACTGGCCAAGCTGACAGACAGGCTGGCCTTGGGAGTATTAGGGAACTTAGATTTGGAGAGGGTTCCCACCACCCTAATCGGTAAGAAAAGTTCACTGCTCTACTGTTGGGGCTTATTTCAAGCACCAGAATCATGGTATGCACGAGGCAGAGGGTGCCCGCAGGAGAAAGCCTGTCTTCCTCTTTGGAGACAATGGTCCTCACCATAGCTCACTGCTGGGGGAACTGAGCACATTCTGTCTGACTCCACAGACTGAAGAGATGGAAGCTCATGCGTGGGTCCTTCCAGTGACTCTCAACCTGGGGGTCACAACCCCTTGGCAGGGGGTATTGAATGATCCTTTCACAGGGGTCGCCCATGACCATTGGAAGTATCAGATATTTACATTATGATTGATAACAGTAGCCAATTACAGTTATGAAGTAGGAATGAAAATAACTTTATGGTTGGGCATCACAACATGAGGCGTTAAAGGGTCACAGCATTAGGGAGATTAAGAACCACTGCTCTAGACTTTGCCTCCTGAAGCCTTTTCCCTTCATGGGTTTTGCTCTGTATCTTTGGCTATTATCAGTAAACACTGTGAGTAAGAAAGGGAGGCTTCCAAGGGCCCTGAAACATCATTCTTTCCAGAAGTGTTATCTCCAGTGGCCTCCTGGAAGCTCGTCAGTGGGGGTACCCACTTGGTGAGGTTCTTACCTGGATGGCAGGCCCGGGTGCCTCCTCTCTCTGCGACCCAGAGTTCAGCACCTTGCTCTAGCTGGGAGATAACTGCAGGCTTGGGAAGATCAGGACCTGGAAAGAGGAAAAGACCCAGGAGGTCAGAGGCTGCTCTGGGGCAAACAAGCCTAGACTACAGCTTTGGTTCTTGCCCATCAGAACATGTGGGCATCATCTAAGCACATGAGGGGTTTGCCTGGTGACAGAGAGGGCAGCTTCCTCCCACCAAATGTATCCTTTAGCAAATGAGGACTCCAGGTTAAGTTAGAGTCCCATACCAGAGGCCCACAAACGTAACTCAGTCTAAGAACTGGGCCTTACCCACAGAGAGAAGGTGCCCAAAGGTCTCCAGCATCACATCACGATACAGGGTCCTCTGGTAAGGGTCCAGCTGCCCCCACTCCTCTTGGGTGAAGTCCACAGCCACATCTCGGAAAGTCACCGGCTCCTGAAACATCACGTGTATTCTCGATTAGTTGGACCATCTACCTCTGCGGAAGAGGAAGGATGGGAGAAAACAGGCAGGCATGGGTTCTGAAAAAATGTACACTCTGTGTGATGTCCCTCAGGCCTCACAGAGAGCCTACAGGCCATTATAGGTAGGTATGGCTTACCATGGCAACACATGAGAGCTCTCGGCGGGCTCAATAGAGACAGCCACAGCTGACCAGACAGACCAATGACATGCAGGTTTATGACCTAAAGAAATGGTTACTAGGTTTTTTGTTTCTTGAGTATGTTTGTGAGTGTTCGAGTGCACGCACACGTGTCTGTGGAGGTCAGAGGATAACGTTGGGTGGTCAGCTCTTTGTCCTCCACATAGTCTTTTACTGATGACCAGGCCACACCAGCATTATCTGTTACCTGATCATCAGTTTCTACCTCCACCCCACTTTTTTTTTTCCCCCTGAGACAGGGTTTCTCTGTGTTGCCCTGGCTGTCCTGCAACTCACTCTGTAGACCAGGCTGGCCTCAAACGCACAAAGATCCGCCTGCCTCTGCGTCCCAAGTGCATGGATTAAAGATGTGTGCCACCATGGCCAGGCTTACTCCACTGTTTTAGCTCAGTTCTCGGTCTCCTAACCCATGTCCAAGTGGTTCTTTCCAGCCCTATACCAGTTCTTCTCAACACTTTCCCTCCCCTTTCCATTTGCATGTGTGTGTGGGCACACATGAGGGAGAGTATGCCTGAATGTGTGCACGCCTGGAGGCCCCATGTTGATGTGAGAATCATCATTTTCTCTACCACCTTATTCACTGAGCAGGTCTCTCAATCAAATCCAGAGTTCACTGATATTGTTAGTCTCAACAGCCGTCTTACTTTGGCGATCCCCTTTGAGATCCTCTTCTGAGACTGGAATTCTAGGTGGGTCACGTGTCCATCCAGTGTTTATATGGTGTCTGGGGATCTGAGCGACAGTCCTCACACTTATGCAGTAAGCACTTTGACCCCTGGGCCATCTCCCCAGGCCCCCTTAACATAAAAAAAACATATTTTTTTCTCCTGAGACAGGATTTTAAGTGTCCTGGTTTGCCTCAGACAGGTTATATAGCCAAAGATGACCCTGAACTCTGATTCTCCTGTTTTACCTGCCAGGTGCTGGGATTGCAGGTGTGTACAACCCAGTTTTTTGTTTTCTTTTGGTTTTTAAAGTGGCACCAGGGCTTCACTCGCTAGGCAAGCACTCTTCCCTCCAGCTACAGCCCCAGCCCTGAACACCTGAATGACTCCTGGTCACCTTCCAATAGTGGATGGCTGCCCCCCCAAGGACATCCAGGTCTCCTGAAACTGATGAGAATCAGGACAGTAACAAGTACTTTGCAGATGTGATAAAGACACCAAGACACACACACACACACACACACGCACGCACGCACGCACACATACTTAGATTTACAGTAACTTTAACAAACTGACAATCTCCTATATTGTAATTACAGAAGGCAATCATGAGTTCACCTGGACACACACGCGCGCGCGCACACACACACACACACACACACACACGCACACTCCCTTGGATTCACAGTTACTTTAAGACACCAAGACAGTAGCTGTCCTGTGCCATCCACGTGGGCCCAGATGTACTCACACGGTTAGGAGATTGGTGTGAGACTGGAGAAGTCAGAAGGCAGTGTGATCACTTAAGCAAGGTGCTACATTGCTGCTTTGAAGCTAGACAAAAGGCCGTAAGGCAAGGAGTGCCTGGGCTGTAGCTCTTATAGCTGGAAAAGCTAATCAACTGATATCTGCCCCTAGAAGCTTGGGAGAAGTGTGGTTCTGCTCGGTGGTGCTCATTTCTGACTTCTATCTCTAGACTGTACCTTTTTAAAAAAAATTATTTTATTTTGAGACAGGGTCAAGCTTGGCTTTAGTTTATCATCTTCCTGCCTCAGCCTCTGATGTGGTGCTGGGATTATAAGCATGTGCCACCATGCTTGGCTTACAATATACATTGTCTTTAGCCAAAGTGTGCAGGGACTTTTAACGGCCACAAGAAACTAACGTCCTGGTCCTTGTTCCTGTGGAGGCTAGCCTCTAACATAGCCTCTCAATGATATCCCGACTTGCATGCAGCCATGTTGACTTGTAGAACAGATAGGATACTGTGGAAATGACAGTGTGAAGTTCAAGCTGAGGTTCTAACACAGCTTCTACCTTAACCAGCTCCCGGGTCACCGTTCCACAGGAGTCCACACATTGCGCTGTGTGACCTCAGTGCTTCCACGGCGAGGCCTACATGGAGAAACACTGAGTCCCCCTGCCAACGGCCATGTGAATGAGTCATCTTGAAGGCGGGTCTTCTGGGCCCGGTCAAGTCTCAAGGAGTAATTGTTAGGCTGTCATGGTGACTGTCACTTTAAGAGCCTAGGGCAGATCCATGAGTTCCTACCTATCAGAAACAGTGAAGCAGTATTTACTTCAGGTCACTACATTTTGTGTGTGCTGTTACACGGCACTTCTTCTAGAGTCTTTCATATTGCTTATTCCCTGACAATCTGACAGCTAATGACTGTCACATGAGGCTTGACTGGGTCTGGGAATCCACCTTCAGCATGGCTCATTCCTATGGCTGTTGACAAGTATCAGTTTTCAGTTCTCCACAATGGTCACATTTCATGGAAAACTAAGATAACACAAATCTGATAATCTGCAATCTAAGGCTATCAATAAACCCATTTTGCACACCAAGTGTAAAATAATGCAAATCTTCCCTAAGCACCAAAAATCCCCCACCCCCCAAATACATACTTTCGAAGTTGCAGAACTTACATATGAATTGATTTTGGCTTTTGCTAAGCGGACTGTGGAGAACAGAATAAGCAGCCAGTTGGTCTACAAAGTGCTTGAACTTTGATGACCAGAAGTTAGACAAACTGGCAAACACTAACAGCCCTGCCTACCACAGTTCTCCCATAGCCCCGCCAAGGCCCCTTGGTAGTTACTCCTGTTTTACTAACTTGGTGCCTGTGCCCCACAATGTTGTGCCTTACTTACAAAATAAGGGCTTCACAGTGTGGAGATTTCCGTCTGTTGATTCTACGTTTTAGGACATGTCCTAAGGACAGTACCCGCAATGTGGGTGCTAGCCAGTCACCTGTCATCACCGACAAACATCTCTCTGGATGTATGGGAAGGTGTTGGCCCGAGGGGGGTAAACCCCCGAGTGGGGTCTCTCCTGTGACCATCCTCCTCTTCCCACCCCGTAGCAGGGAGACAGGAGGTTGGAGCATGGGTACTGGACAGGGGGGTAGGAGTTGGGGTGGGGACTGGGTTCAGACCTGGGCTTGGCGGCTGAGCTACCGCGTTCGCTTCCCCCTGTGGAAAAGGGGCCGCAGGTTACAGGCCAGTCTTTGGGGAAAGAGGGGCGGAATCCACTCCGTTATTGTTACCTTAAGTTGTGTTGCTTGCGGCCGCGAGGCCATCGCCATTGTTGCCGCTTGATCCTGCGGGTCCATCCCGAGCGAACAGGTCAGCAACAGACGTCCAAGGCGATTCCTAAGCTAAAGTGCACGCCCGTTGTAGAGACCACCCGACCAGCCCTCCCGCTGGACAATGGCGGCAGTGCCAGGGACCCCGACACTACAACTCCCAGAAGGCTACGCACTGAGACGCAGCACTGGACCAATGAGAGCTACCGCCAGCCCAACGTTGACCAATGGGGAAGTCCTGTCCTCTGAAACCACCCACAGCTGTTGACTAAGGAGCAGGTCCGGGTAACTGCGGAGCCCAATTTCCATCCCTTACCTACGGGGCGGGCATCACTCGGCCCCGGTTACCCTGAAAATTGTCCTCCTACCCTGATGACTGAGTTTAGAGCACATATACATCTGAGCAGTGAGGTACTGCTGTCAGAGAGTTGGTCAATCTGACCTGCTGTAGGAATTAAATGCACAAGAGACCCCGGGATTTCTTCTTTTTATTCTGTGTACTCCGATTACACTGACATTTACCTGAAACAAAACTACATGAACATTTTAGAGTTTTCTTAATGTAATAGACGTCGAAGGACTAATGACTGGAAAGGGGAAAACGAGACCTCCCAGATTCATTTTCAGGTAAGATGAATATCAATTGAAGGTGTAATTGTTACAGCTCGGATGGAAAGATATCCTGGCAGTCAGGAGCCAAGGAATACCAGAGAGTCAGGCCACACAACAAACTTCACACAGATTTATTGGGAGGGAAAAAACCCAGGAGGATGGCTGCCTCTGCTTAGGCAGGAAACAGCAGAGAACTGAGCAGATGCCAGGGTTTACATAGTTGTTTTTTGATTGGTGGCCCGACGGTGGAACTTTTCAGGGTGATGCTTTCCAGGGTGGAAACTGCTGGGATTTCAAGTCCAGAGCTTGGGCTTTTACTCTGTTGGGCAGAGGACTGGGTCCAGCAGTTAGGGTGGCTAGAGTGTTCTGTGGGTGGAACCTGGCTGGAGGTTCTCAGGAGAGGAGCCTGGCCACTTGTGTGCCTTGTGCCTTGAGGGACTTACGAAAGGTACATCCATAATCCCAGAGATGGAGGCAATAAAATCCAGGAGTTCTTGCTTGGCTACGCAGCATGTTGAAGGCTACACTCTTAGGGGTGGGGGTTTGGGAGATGAAGGACGAAAGAAAGAAAACACACACTTTTTTTTTTTCAAACTAAGAACTAGGCACAAGTAGAAAAGAAAAGGGTCAAGTTTGGTGGTGCACACCTTTATTTAAGAAGTAGACCGAACTCTTGTGAGTTTGAGGCTAGCCTGGTCTACATAGTGAGTTCCAGGCAACTAGGACTACATAAAGAGTCCCTATCTCAAGAAGACCAACCAAAAGAAAAGAGAAGAAAATGGGTACTTGCTAGTCCTCACCAGCTGATGTTGTAGTGGGAAAAGACAGAAAATAAACTACACCCTTAAAGAGACAGAGAACACCAGGTATGGAACAGCAGGCTCTGTTCCCCCACCCCCCCCCCCACCCCCAGTACTGAATATTGAACCTAGGTCTTTGTGGATTGTGGAGTTGCGGTCTAAGCAAAAGGCATGTCCTGAATGACATTCTTTAAATCCCATCCTCCCGTCTCTATCTCTCTGTCCCTAGCCCAGTTCTTTCCTTTGTTCTCTGCAGTCTCCACATAAGTAAGTGGGCAATGACAATAGTTTTACAGCTGGTGCTCAGGGTCTGGACTGGGTATTTCTTGGTTCTTGACCCATTTGAAATAAGGGCTTACAGAACCCAAAGAAGTAAGATAATTTTATTTGGAGCAAGGTGATACCATAGGTTTGTAGGATACACTATTCGAGATTGACAGTGGGTCATATGAGTGAAGAGTCTCAGCATCCAGATTATTGTTCAAAGTTTCCTTTTATGGGGCTCAAGAGAAGGGGTGCTGGCTACTAGGGATGTATTTTGGGTGATTAATCTTTTCATTTTCTCTACTGTGCATGTCCCTTCTATGATGCATCTGATTTTAATTATATGTGTGCCCAATTATGTATAGGCATAAGGTGGCAAATAGGAGGTTCTCCCTAAATGTTTACAGTTTTGCCTTCTTGTGCAGCATCCAAAGCTAGCTCAGGTCAGATCGACTCTTCTCTTCTTCATACACAGGTATGTTGAGAATATTCTTGAACTTTGAACAGCATCAAGGGCAGGGAAATTTATACCATTGCTCAGAGATGGAAGTGTGTGAAGCCTGATGTAGACAGAGGGGGGTTTGAGGTTGCTAGGTGCATTGTTCAGAGGTGTTTGTGTGTGTGTGTGTGTGTGTGTGTGTGTGTGAATAGTATGAGCACTTGAAAGACCTAGGCTGCTAAGTGCATTATTACAAGAGGAGTGTGTGTGCAAATCCCAAATCAAATGGGGGCCTCAGGGCACTAAACTGTCTCCCATGCTTGCCTGCCTTAGTATCAGGCAAGGTGCTAGTTTGAATGAGAAGTTTCCCCATGGTTTCAGACATCCAAACATTTGGTCTCCAGTTGGTAGTGCTCTTTGGGGTGCATCCTTGCTGGGGGAAGTATTAGACTAAGGACTGTGGGGTTCTGTGCAACCACCACAGCCAGCATAGTTTCTGAGTAAGCATGACTAACTAGCCGGTGTTGGTTCAAACCTCAGGAGTCTACCCCCACATAACTGATTTTAGGCATATTTGAGCACAGCTCAATTTGGTGATACTGTCCTGGTAATAACCCTGACCAGGCGGCTTGAGCTTGATGGAGCTCCTGAAGAGAGTAGAGCTGCCATGGTGCCGGTAAAATGTGTTGATTTTTCTAATCGGGTAATAGCCACTCAAGGTTTTGGCAGTGCCCTTCATACTGCAGCCGCCATTCAAATAATTTTTCTAAAAGGACCTTTTTTTTTTTTAAAGCAGAAATAAAGGACATTGGGAAAATGTGTGCAAAAAAATCTAGTCATCCTGTTCCTCACCTTTGCCCATGATGTAGAAAGGAGAAAACATTGAGTTAAGGAATGTTGATCCAAACTTGACAAGGATAGTAAGCCTTTAAGCTCATCAAGGGGGTAACACCTAGCCTTAGACTCAAGGAAGATGGGAGACTGACTCAGGCAACAAAAAAATGAACCAGGCTCAAAATCAGTATCTAGGCATTTGGGGGAGCAACAGGGTCTAATGCAATGGGATTAAACTTATTAGCTTTACAGACAAGACCATTCTCAGGTGATGGGCATCCTAAGTCAAGTGTACACGTTGAAAAATAGTCCTTAGAGCAGTGGTTCACCATCTGTGGGTCAAATATAAGATATTTACATTATGACTCATTTTAGTAGCAAAGTTATGAAATAGAAATGAATTAATTTTATAGTTGGGAGTCACTACAATGAGGAACTGTATTAAAAGGGTTGCAGCATTAGGAAGGTTGAGAACCACTGCTTTAGAGTCATTCTAGACACTGGGGCCAGTCATTCATTTATTTGTCAAGAACAATGGCCCCACACTGGTCAGTGTCTAATGGCCCTCCTTTACAAGGTATTGGAAGCCAACTGGATTCTTTAAAAAGTACTGAGGTCTTAATTTGGACTCACAAAGATTCTTCTGGCACTGATAAGCCTTACATTGTCTCAGGACTTTTATAAAATTTGTGGGGAAGAAATGTATTACAACAAAGGCAAGCTGTAATTATCACTGCTACTAAGGAATATCTTGATAATTATAATACAAGAAAATATAACTGGCGTCATTGACCAAGGGTCATCCAAACAGCCTTATAACTGCAATGGATCTCTGATGACCTAGTATGGATTGATCAGTGGCTCCGTCATGACAAAAAATTAAAACAGGTCCAACTTCAAGTAAAGCAATAATTGCAACTAGGACATAAAAACCCTTCAGTTAGTTCTTGAAACTCGACTATTTTTATAATTCATGAAAGGGCAAAGAGCTGGGCGGTGGTGGCGCACGCCTTTAATCTCAGCACTCGGGAAGTAGAGGCAGGAGGATCTCTGTGAGTTCGAGACCAGCCTGGTCTACAAGAGCTAGTTCCAGGACAGGCTCCAAATCTACAGAGAAACCCTGTCTCGAAAAATCAAAAAAAAAAAAAAAAAAAAAAAAAAAAAAAGAAAAAAAAAAAAGGGCAAAGAGTAACTTTTTTTTTCAAGACAGGGTTTCTCCTGTATGTCCTGGAAATCAATCTGTAGACTAAGCTGGCCTTGAACTCAGAGATCAGCCTACCTCTGCCTCCTGGAGTGCTGGGATTAAAGGCATGCGCCACCCCTGTATGATTCAAAGAAGAAATTTTGAATGTTACATGATCTCAGGGGCATTCATATGATTATGAAAACAATGGTGGCCCTTCAGCCAGGGCTGCCTGTTCCTACTATGATTCCTCAAGAACATTACGTTACTATGGTTGGCTTAAAAGACTGCTTTTCCTCTATTCCTTTACATCCTGATGATAAGGAATATTTTGTATTCTCTGTTCCCACTTTAAACAATCAACAGCCATTGACTTAATATCAGTGGAAAATTTTATCATAATGGATGAAAATTAGTCCCACTATATGTTAATATTATGTACACAAAGCACTTAAGATGGTGCTGATTCAATTTCCTGAATTATTGGTCATTCATTATATGGATGAAATTCTCTTCTCTCACTCATTTAATTGATACTTGAATAAGTGCTTGATTTTCATGGTATTAAATAAACTAAAAGAGTAAAATTTAAACATAGCTCCAGATAAAATACAAAAACAATCATCTTATAATTATTCAAACAACAACAAATTTGCCCTCATCCTCTCATCTTAAAACTTCCCAAATGCCAGGCAATTGTGACTCACATTTTGATCCCAGCACTCGGGAGGCAGAGGCAGGTGGATGTCTGTGAGTTCGAGGTCAGTCTGGTCTACAGAGCGAGTTTCAGGACAGGTTCCAAAGCTACACAGAGAAACTCTATCTCAAAACACAAACAACACACCAAAACAATAACAACAACAAAAACACAAAACAACAAAAACTTCGCAAAGTGCCCTTGACTACTTAGAAGAAACTTTGGGCCATGTTAATTGGGGGACATTCTTCTTTGCCCTAATACTGCTAGGGATTTGATTTGTTCTCTAACTTACTGTCGAGAGACTATAAAAAATATAACACTTGAAG